GACAGTAGATCTGACTATATTAACTTTCAAACAGAGCAGACTTCAAAGCAAGGGAGGTTATCTGAGAAAAACAAGGACATTCCATATTGCCCATGACTAAAATGACCATATTCTGGGCCATAAATTAAGCCTTTAAAAAGTTTCAAGGGATGAACCCTGGCTGGTGTGGCTCAATGGGTTGAGCGCTGGCCTTTGAACCAGAGGCGCTCATTCAATTTCCACTCAGGGCACAGGCCTGGGCCACAGGTCAGGTCCCCAGTGGAGGGGGTGGGGGGGTACCCGAGGGGCAACCACACATGGATGTTTCTCTCTGTCTCTTTCTCCCTCCCTTCCCCTCTAAAAATAAATAAATACAATCTTTAAAAAGTTTTTCAAGGGATGAAAATTATCTTCCAATCACTTTGGAATTAAATTAGAAGACTCTAGGAGTTAGATAAGTAGAATATCTTACTTGGAAAGTAAGCAACATACTTGGGAAGTAAATAATCCACGAGTCAAAGAAGAAATAAAAATGGAAATAACGAATCTCTGTAACTGAAGAACAGTAAAAATGTAAGATAGCAAAATTGCAAATGATGTCAACATTATGTTTAGAGGGAAATGCATAGTTTTATTGCATATATGAGAAAAGTAAAAAATTTAAACAAACATCTAGGCAGAAAAAGAACACATTTTTTAAAAACTAGAAAATAAAATAATATAGGTAAAAGCAGGAGTCAATGAAATAGAAAACAAACATACAATGTAAAAGTCAACAAATCAAGCCTTGACCGATGTGGCTCCATTGATTGGGCAGCCTCTGGCAAAGCAAAAGTTCACCTGGTCCATTCCCCTGTCAAGGCATATGCGTGGGTTGCAGGTTCAGTTCCTGGCCAGCGGTTTGGTTCCTGGTTGGGAAGCGCACGAGAGGCAACCAATTGATGTTTTTCTCTCACATCGATATTTCTCTCCCTGCCTTTCTCCTTCCCTTCCCCTCTCTCAAATAAATAAATAAACAAAATATTTCTAAACATCAAAAGTTGTTTATTTAAAAGATTACTATAATCAACAGATCTTTATCGAGACCAATGAAGGAAAAAAAAGAGAAAACAAATTACTAACATCAGGAATCAAAAGAAGACATCATTTTGGGTCCTATAGGCACGAAAAGGGCGACGCGAGGATATTACGAGCTACTTTATGTCAACACATTGGAAAACTTGGACGAAGTGGATAAATTCTTTGAAAAATAAAACTTACCACAACTGACCTTAGAAGAAATAGAAAATCTGAATAGTCCTATATCTATCAAAGAAATTTAACGCATAATCTAAGACTTCTCTGCAAAAATCCAGATGGTCTCACTGGTGAAATCTTCCAAACACTTAGGGAAGGAAAGCCAGTCTCACAGAAAACAGGGACACCTTGGTGGTGGTTTTGTACTTTGTCAATTGGGCTGAGCTGGACCTACATTTCTTAGAATCTCCTTTGCTGTATGGTTCTGGGTTACAGTTGGCCAAAAGAGAAAATGCGTAAAAACTGAGAGGAAGAAGTGAAGCACGCTCACTGTTCTTAGGTGGTTCTAGTTAGACATGCGTAGAGGTGCCAGTGGGTTTCAGCTTGCTCTTGCTGTCCCCTCCGGTAAGAGAGAGACAGAGATGCAAAAGCACAGGACCTTGTTTCCACCTCACTCTCTATTCATTTCTTCTCAACTTTCTGCCCTGCTATTGACCAGTAGGGACCCCAGGCCAACACCACATGTATAGGCAACTGACTCCCATAGCGGGTCCTCACCCGTTGTTCTTGGTGATCCCACTCTGGCAGCTGGATGTACTGACTTCCTAGGTTTTCCTGAAAGCTCTTCCTTCAACTCCCTTTTCTGGATTTCCTTTTCATGGTCTGTGCTTCTGTTATTATTTTTAAAGATTTTATTTACTTATTATAAGAGAGAGGGGAAGGGAGGGAGAAAAAGAAACATCAGTTGGTTGCCTCTCCTAGGCACCTCGACTGGGAATTGAACCAGCGACCTTTTGCTTTGCAGTATGGCGCCTAACCAACTGAGCTACACTGGTCAGGGCAAGGTGAGGATTCTTCTCCCTCTTCCCCTCCCCCTCCCCCTCCTTTCTTTTTTAAATTCTCACCCAAAGGCACATCCATTGATCCTAGAGAGAGAGGAAGAGTGAAAGAGAGAGAGAAAAATACCAGTGTGAGAGAGAAGAAATGAGCGGTTGTCTCCCACACGTGGCCCGGCTGGAGATTGAACCCGCAACCTAGGTATGTGCCCCAACTGAGAATGGACTCTACAAGCTTCCGGCGTAGGGATGACACTCCAGCCAACTGAACCATCCGGCCAGGGCCAGTTGTGTAAGAGCTTATTCATGCAATAAATTCCTTGCTCCAGAGAACTCACTGTGCATTTCAACTTCAAAGTGTTTCTGCCTCAAAGTTGAAAATGTCACAGAGCACAAAGCAACGAGGAGGAATGGGTGCAGGTTAAAGAAGACTAAAGAAACACAACTACGTGCAATAGGTGGTTCTGGATTGAAACCACAGTGCTAAAAAATACATATTGTGCCAATTGGAAAGTTTTTGCATATGGATTGTGTATTAAAAATAGTATATGTCATTGATAAATTTCCTCAGTTCCATCACTGCATTGCTGTTATTAGGGTGTCTTTCTTCTTAGGAATTACCTGCCAAAGAATTTAGGGGTCAAGGATCATGATGTCTCAACTTACTTTCAATGATCCATTTATCACCATCATCATCACATAAACATGGAGAGAGATAAAAGCAAACTAAGCCAATATTAATGGGCAGTGAATCTGGGTGAGGAGTATATAGATACTAGTCTTGTAACTGCTATGGGTTTAAAAATCTTCAGAAGAGAAAATTAAAAATCCCCCCACCTGTTGCAGAGATATGGGCTTCGTTTCTGTTCTCTGAAGGTATCAAACTTGACCCCAAGGTGAGGTCTTCTTAGTCCTGATTGCTTTAACTATGAAGGTGGGTTTTCAAGGTATATGAATATTCCTGGAAGGGGCATTGCTAATGTTGTTTTGTTAGTTGGCTATTGTCAAGTTTCTTCCTATGGAGGCTGTACCACTTTGCATGTCTGCCAGCTATGCATCTGTGCCAGTTTCATAGGTGAGAAATGCTACTTCAGAGTCACTTTAATTGGCAGTATTCTTATTAGGTGCAAAGTTGAGCTTCTTTTCATATAGTTAAGGACTGTTGATATTTGTTTCTCTGTTCATTTATCTTTTTAAAAAGATTTTATTTGTTTATTTATTGAGAGAGGGTGAAGGAGGGAGAGAGGAAGAGGAACACCTAGGAGCAAGGGAAACATCTATCGGTTGCCTCCCGCACGCCCCCAACCGGGGACCTGGCCTCAAAGCAGGAACGCACCCTGATGCGGAATAGATCTCGCGACCCCTGCCTCTGTTCAAAGGCCGGTGTTCTATCCACTGAGCCACGGCGGCCAGAGCGTCATTTCTTTTGCACATTTTAAAACATTGGATATTTGGTCTTTTTCTTATATATTAAGGAGGTAAACATTTTGTGAGCGAAGTAAGTTGTAAATATTTCCTTTGAGATTGTCACACTTTGCTTATGGAATAATCTGTTCTTGAATAAATACTCAATATGCCTAAGTAGTTTTATTTATAAATTTTATTTTATGGATCCATGATTTTCCCTAACCTTTTTACAATAAAAAATTTCAAACATACAGAAAAGTTAAAAGAAGTCTACAGTGAAGACCAATGTGCCTACCACTTAGGTTCTATTACCAATATTTTACTTGTCTTACCATATCTAGCCACTCTATCCACCCCTCTATCTCTCTACTAATTCATTTAATACATTTTCGATGCACTTCAAAGTTGCAGACATCAGTACATCCTCCTTAAATAATTCCTACATATCACTGAGTTCAATATGAGTCTTTCTGTTGTTGCTTTTAACTTCCTGTGTAAATCAGAAAGAATCTCTCAATCCCAAAATGGAAAGGAATTCATTCATGTATTCTTCTAGTTCTGTTTACATTATTACATGGGATTTCTGGTTCATTTATGCAGGTGCATGGTGTGAGGGATGGATCTTATTTACACGTGCACACACGCTCTCACTCACTTGAGGGAGTCTCTATTTAAAAAAATTTTTTTTGACATAAAATTCACATACCATAAAATTCATCCTTTAAGTGTGTACAATTTAGTGGTTTTTAGTGTTTTCACAGAGTTTTGCAACCATCACTACTACAAATACACACACACACACATACACATATATCAGCAACTTTAAACAGGTGTGCCACAGTAATTTTTAAAATATGCAATACCAAACCCTGGCTGGTGTGGCTCAGTGGACTGTGTGCCAACCTGTGAACAAAAAGGTCGCTGGTTCGATTCCCAGTCAGGACATATGCCTGAGTTGTGGGCCAGGTCCCCAGTGCGGGGCATGCGAGAGGCAACCACACGTTAGTGTTTCTCTCCCTCTTTTTCTCCCTCCTTTCCCCTCTCTAAAAATAAATTTAAAAAAAATATGCAATACCTGATTATTCAATCAGGGGCACTGACCTCGTTTCCTTTCGATTGTCAAATAAAAAAATGACAACAGCCAACACATCCGTAGTCATCTGGTGTGAATGAATCAAAATTACACATTTTTTTTGTCAGGTTGGCAAAAAAGATATTTTTTGGTGTGCCACAGCATTTTAGTAATTAGCTTATGAGTGCTACAATATGAAAAAGGTTGGAAACCACTGGTATATATACATTTACATATATATTTATACCTTGCACCCCAAATGGCTATCTAGTTGTCTCAGTGCCACATATTAAACATGCCATCTTTCTATTAGAGGTTTAAGATGCCACAGTTGTCACCAAATATATAGGTGTTTGGGTGTCCAATTCTCTTCCATGGGCCTGCTTGTCATCTCTTCACACATGTGGGACATCTGTGCTACCATCAACAGCCCTGGCCCAGGATTGTGGGCGGGACGGGGGGGGGGGGGGGAGGCAGCATGTAGCCACACCTCTCTAAGGCCTTTTATCAGAGGGCTTTATCTCTATAATAGCATCAGACAGCAGATATGAAAAAAGCTTTACTCCCCAGTGACTGAGAGAAAACCAATCGGGCAGGATGCCAGCCAGCAGGAAATCCTGTGAAGAAGAGAGACCAGGAAGTAATATACACCCCACCCGTGGGTCCCCTCATCTATTCTGTCTTCCCAGCCCAAGGCGGGGGCCCTCCCCCTCCTCCGGACATCTCCTCACTTCAGAGGGAGGACTAGTGGACCTAGGCCAGGGAGTGTCCCATCCAACTCTATGCTCCTAGCTGCCCCATGGACACACCTGCACAGCGTGAATGAAGCACCCAGGAGTTTGCGAGGTGAGGCCAAGGGTGTCCAACGCCTGCCGAACATACTTTTCACAATTCATCGCCATCATCTGGCATTTTCCGTCAGCGGTCATATTTGTTTTGACCATTAAGGGGTTCAGTGTCTGCAGGAGGGAAGGAGGTACACGGAAAAACTACCTTCTTACCCCAGCCTAGGTTCCCAGGCTCTCATTGTGGATCCCAGAGTTCCATCCGCTTTGCCGCTCTGGGACTCGGGTCTCAGAGAGCGCTCCCCCTTTAGGCCCCGCCCAGTCCTATGCTGGCCCCGCCCCATAGAAACCACGCCTGGCGGAGGCCACGCCCCTTGCAACTGCCAGTCGTTTTGGAGACTGCTCTGCTCAGGTGTTTCGGAAGCCCAATATTCTCCGACCTTCCCTGCCCCAACCCCGGGAGCCTCCACCGTCTCTAAGCGCCTACCCTCCGCCAAAGCCCCTCTCCTTCTGAGATGCCACTCAGGTCACGTCCCTTGTGAATCCCGCCCCCGTAGTCAGGCACCTGAATGAGGACTCCCTGAGAGAAGTACTCCGCGCCCACTGCCAGCGAGAAGCTTCGCACAAAAGCCTGTGGAGGAAGGAGAGGGCGGTCCCAGGCTCGGGAGCCTCCGCGTGCAGGCTCCTGGAGCCTGTCCCTGCCCCAGCGGCCGTCCCCGCTCCCGGAACCCGAGTGGCTCCAGGAGGCCCCCGAGCTCCGCCCCGCGTCCTCCCCTACACCCGTGAAGGCTTCCGCGCTCCAAGCCCGCCCTCTATTCCCGTCGCCCACTCCGTGTTCCACCCGGCCTGTCTCTGCGATCCTTCCCCACTGTTCTCTCGTCCTCTCGCCTCCGTTTCTCTTAATTAAAAAAAAAAAAAAAAAAAAAAAATCTGGCCTGTGCCCTGGATGTCACACACCCACCCCCACACGCACGCACGCGCGCCGGCAGGGCTGTGGCAGGAATCTCTCAGCTCGGCAGGACAGCCCTCACGCGGGTCTGTGGGGTCTGCGTACCTTAGTAGCTGAACACGCCGAGAAAAATGGATAGGGTTTCTTGCCGAGGACTGAAGAGACGTTGACGATGATGCCTTTGCTCCTGGAGGAGGAAGCATCAGTTGAAAGGTGGGGGAGCGGGGCTCCAGGTGATTTCCTCCACCTCCACCCCCCAGCCACGCCCTACTCTGAGAAACGTCGGAGGGAAAGGGCAGAATCCAGAGCGGAAGAGGGAAAGTCGGCCTCTTACCTGGCGACCATCTGGGGAAGGACGATTGCGGTCATCTGCAGAGCAGTGGGAAGGGCCCCATTTTTCCCTTTCCAATCCTTTCATCTGCCACCGCCTCCTCCTCCTCCTCCTCCTCCTCAAGTTCACGCCCATCCCCCTATCTTTTCTTGGGGAATGTTCCCCTAGCACCTTCTCCACGGGGGGCCTAGTCCGGGGAGGGGGATTCTGGGGATCACCCGGAGCCGTCAGAGGTACGCTGGCTTTGCGTTTAGCTCCTCCTAATCTGGTCTCACCTGGGCCACAGACATGATGTTGCAGTTTATAATATCTGAGAGTCTCTGGGGAAGAACAGAGAATCATCAGTCCTTCCCTTCACCAACCCTGCCTCAACTCCCACCTTTTCTCATTTCCTAGCTTCCTTTTCTTTTAAGATGGAACACATTTTTTTTTTTTTTTTTTTTAAGTAGCATTGACTAGAATTTAAAATGCACATACCCTTTGACCCATCAACTCCACCTCTGGACATTTCTTTCTTTCCAAGATACTCACACAGGTGGAAATGAATTATGTCCAAAGATAGTGGCTGCAACACTGTCTATAATCACAGGTCATAGGAAACACCCCGAATGCTCATCCCCAGTGGAATGCCTACCTAAATATGGGGTAGCCCATGGGTACATCACTGTGTAACAAGCAAAAAGAATGGGTCAGCTATGTCTTCTGAATAGAAAAATTCCCAAGATTCATGGCTACTTGTAAAAGGTGCAGAGCAGAACAATAGGCTGTCTGATATCTGGATAAAAAAAATGACACATACTTGTTTCCACATGCATAGAGGAAAAAATACCTACCACATTTTAAATTGGGGAGTTACTATTGGGGAATGGTTTAGACAGAGGAGATTTTCAGCTTCATTTCATAAACTTCTCCCTCTGGATTTTTTGACCCGTAAACTTTATTAAAAAGATTTTATTTATTTTAGAGAGAGGGGAAGGGAGGGAGAAAGAGAGAGAGACAGAAACATAGATGTGAGAGAGAAACATCGATCGGTTGCCTCTTGTAAGCACCCCAACTGGGGGCCGAACCAGCAACCCAGGAGGCATGTGCCCTGACCAGGGACTGAACCCGTGGCCTGGACGACGCCCAACCAACTGAAACACAGCAGTCAGGGCTTGACCCATAAACTTTTTATAGACGTACACCATACACACACCAAAGCGCAGAGATTTTTAGTGTAAAAAATAAACACAAATCTTTCACCTCTACCCCTTTGAAGAAACAAAGTAGTGCCAGTTTCCCAGATCCTTCCCCCCAGCAGCGCCGACCCTTGTTTCCTCACCGGTTAACCACCACCTTGCCCTCTAAACCGCTCTAGAATACTTTCGTCCAGTTCTGAACTTCATGTACGTGGAATCGTGCCCTGTATACTCTTTCATCCCTGGCTTCCTCTGCTAAACGTTATGTTTATCAGATTCATTCTTGTTGTATGAAAGCATAAGTTTGTTTATGTTCACTGTTATAACTTTATATTGTGTGAATAGAGCATATGTTATTTATGTAATCAACTATTGATTGACATTTAGGTTGTGTCAAGTTTGGGGCTATGACAATTTATCTAGAAATACTCCTGAACGTGTCTTTGGAGCACACGTGCGCGCGTGGACAACCAGGAGTGAAATGGAAGGATGACAGGCTATGCGTATTTCTAGTCTTAACAGGTGCCACCAGTTTGCCCCAAATTGTCCACATTTATATGCCCACTAGCAAAGCTTAAGAAATCTAGTTGGTTCACATCCCAACAACACTTGGTATTGCCAATACTTTTAGTGTTCACCATTTTAGTGGCTGTGTAGTTGTATCTCACTCTGGTTTGAATTTGCAGCTCCCTAATAAGAACGATGTTGAGTAAGTTTTCATATGTTCATGGGCCACTCGAATTTCCTCTTTTGTAGAAGCTTATCAAGTGTGGCTCCCATTTTTCACTGGGTTGTTTGCATGTTTTAAAGAAATATATCCACACACATTTTGGTGGTGGTGGTTATACGTGCTGCAAATGTTTCTTCCCGTTCTGTGCTGGCTCTTTCACCCTCCCATTTGAGTCTTTGAATGAATAAGAGCTCTTAGTTTTAATGTAACCCAGTTCGTTGACCCCTTCCTTTAAGTCCTGTGCCTTTTGTTTCCTGTTTAAGAAACCTTTCCCAGTAGTGTGAGATTATGTGAGATAATGGATGTGCTAACTAACCTTATTGTGCTAATTATTTAGCAATATTTACATATATTGAATCATCATTTATAATGATTACTCTATATATTTGTCTTTTAAATAGAAAGAAAGGAGTTACAATCCAAAGGTAAAGAAATGCTGGTTTTTCTGTTTATCTTTGTAGTTATCTTAACCTGTTTCTTCATTTCTTCTTATGGCTTTGAGTTGTATTTTAGTGGGGTTTTTGTTTGTCTGTTTGTTTGTTTTTAATTTCAGCCTAAAGGACACCCTTGAGCATTTCTTATGGGGCTGGTCTGCTGATAACGATCTCTCTTAGCTTTTGTTTACCTGGGAATGAGTTAATTTCCCCCTCATTCTTGAAGAATAGTTTTGCAAGACACAGTATTCTTAGTTGATAGTTTTTTTTGTTTGTTTTTGTTTATATTTTAGGACTTTAAATATGTTTATCCCACTGTATCCTGGCCTCCATAGTTTCTAATGAGAAATCAGCTATTGATCCTATTGAGCATCATTTGTTCATGATGAGTCACTTCACTCTTGCTGCTTTCAAAATTTTCTTTGAGCTTTGACAGTTTGACTATAGTATGTCTTGGTATAGATCTATTTGAGTTTTATCCTGCTTGGTGTTTGTTGAACTTCTTGGACATGTATGTTTTATTAGATTTGGCAAGTTTCCAGTCATTGTTTCTTCAAATGTATTTCTGCTCTCTTCTCTCTTTCCTCCCTTTTTTATAGGGACTCTATTATATATAGAAATATATAATATATTTTATTTATATAAATATTATATAAAGAGTCCCTATAAATAGAGTCCATACACATTCACACACTCACATACATACATATACCACTCTGGTATGTTTGACGATGTCCCACAGGTCCCTCAGGCTCTGGGCTCTGCTCATTTTTCTTATTTTTCTTTTTTGTTCTTCTGTCTAGATACATTCAATTGTTTTATCTTCAAGAATACTAGTCTTTTTATCCACCTGCTTGAAAGTGCTGTGGGAACCACAGCCGCACCTCTGGCCCAGTGAATTTTTCATTTACATTATTGAATTTTTCAGCTACACAATTTCTGTTTTGTTCCTTTTAACAATTTCTCTCTCTTTACTGATATTCACATTTTGTTCATGTATCATTTTCCTGATTTTTATTAGCTCCTTGTCTATGGTTTCCTTTAGCTCATGGAGCATATTTAAGGCAGCTGACTTAATGTCTTTAACTAGCAATGCCTGGGTTTCCTCAGAAATGGTCACTGTGAAACTCTTTCTTTGCCATGTATATATAGGCCATCCCTTTCTGTTTCTTTGTATGGTTTTAATTGTTTTTGGTTGACAACCGGACATTCCAAGTATTATAATGTGTTAACTCTTGAGATACGACTTTCCCACTTATCAGGGGTTGCTGATTTTTGCTCGCTGAGGCTGCAGCCATCTGTTTATGACTTTTCCAAACTATTTTTGCAGAGTGTGTACTTCTCTGTGTGAAGTATCTGTCCTATTATCTCTGTGATCATCCAGTGACCCATACCTAGGAGATTAAATCAATAATCACAAACCTACCCAGAAAGAAAACCCCTGAGCAGATGGCTTCACTGATTAACTTTACCACACATTTAAAGAACTAATGCTAATCCTTCTCAAACTCTTCATCAAAGAATTAAAGGGAAGAAAATACTTCCTAACATTATATCAGGCTAGCACTGCCCTGATGCCAAAGCCAGACAAAGACTCTACAAGAAAAGAAATCTGCAGACCAATCTTCCTTTTGAACATTGATGCAAAAACCCTCAGCAAAATACTAGCAAACTGAATTCAGCAGCATAGTAAGAGCATTACACAACATGATCAAGGGGAATATATTCCTGGAATGCAAGGATGGTTCGACATATGGAAATTGACTAATGAAGCCCTGGCCGGGTGGCTCAGTTGGTTGGAGTGTCATCCCAAACACCAAAGGGTTGTGGGTTCAATTTCCAGTTTGGTCACAAACTTAGGTTGAGGGTTCATTCCCCCATTGGGGTGCCTACAGGAGGCAACCAACTGATGTTTCTCTCTCCCCTCTCTCTCTCCCCCTTCCTCTCTTTCTCAAACCAACAAACATATCCTTAGGTGAGGATTTTAAAAAAGAAAATTAATTGACATAATATAACACATTAACAAAATAAAAGCCATATGATCATCTCAATTGATGTGGGGAAAGCATCAGACAAAATTCAACTCCCTTTCATGATTAAAACACTCAAGGAAACTACTTCAATGTAATAAATATATGAATAATAAACATGAGAAGCCCACAATTAACATCATACTTAATAGTGAAATACTGAAACCTTTTCCTGCTTTTACCATTTCTATTCAACATAGTATTAAAAGTTCTAGCCAGAGCAATTAAGCAAGAAAAAGAAATCAAAGGCATCCAAATTGTCAGGGAAGATGTAATATTATCTCTGTTCACAGATGATATCATCTTAAAGATTATATGTAGAAAATCTTAAAGATTCCACACAAAGCAGTGAGAACTAATAAATGAATTTGCAAAGGAGCAGGATAAAAAGTCAACACCCATGCACACACACAAAAATCTGTTGCATTTCTATACACTAACAATCAAAAACCCAAAAGGGATGTTATAAAAACAATTCCATTTCCAATAGCATCAAAAAGAATAAATATACTTAAGGGGGAGGAGGTAAAGTAAATATACAAGTAAAGGGGTAGGGCGGGCCAAGATGGAGGCGTAGGTAAAGACACTTTGCCTCCTCGCACAACCAAAAGAAGGACAACAAATTTAAGAACAAAATAACCAGAACTGCTAGAAAATCAAACTGTATGGAAGCCCGACAACCAAGAACCTAAGAAGAAACATTCACCCAGACCAGTAGGAGGAGCGAAGACAGGCAACCAGGGCAGAGAGGACGCACGGTAAGGTGGCAGCGGGCAGACGGGGCGGTCCCTCATTTGTGTGCAGATAAACCGGGAGAACAGTTGGAGAGCGAGACAGACCGTGCAACCCAGGGCTCCAGTGCGGGAGAAGAAAGCCTCAAAACCTCTGGCGGTAAAAATCTTTGGGGGTTGCGGTGGCGGGAGAGACTCCCAGCCTTGCGGGAGGGTC